CTTCTTTCTTGATATTTATCATTTGTCTGTATTAGTACCAGGCCTTGATCTCTCAAGCGCTCACTCTAATTCTTTGCTCAGTTGGCACTCCGCCTCTTGAGCCATGCCTACAGTCCAGTTTTATTTTGTTAGGGGTTTTTGTTTGTTTGTTTGTTTTGATGGTTAATTTGAAATGGAGTCTCTTGAACTTTTCTGCCTGGTCTGACTTTGATCCTCGATCCTTAGATCTCATCCTCTTAAGGGGCTAGGATTACTAGTAAGAGCCACCAGCTACCTTTACTTGGGTGAGCTCCTATCAGATATTTTGTAGATTGTTCCTCAAGATGGATCTTTCTATTTTATTTATTCATTGCTCTCTTCAAATATTTGTACAGGAGGTTAGATTTAACGTGTCATGGATATAGGTACAATGCATCTTGATTGGAGTCACCCCTTCTATCATTTCCCCCATCCTGTTTTCTGTAGTTTGAAGTTTTGCTTTTTTTTTTTTCTAGAACCACAGTAGTAGTTTGTCCTCTGTGTATCATATCTGGGAATACAGCATCAATGAGGTTTGATGTTAATGTCAGTGTCAACCTTGATCACTGGTAAAAGTGGTATCTGCCAATTTTCGGTCAACAGTTAACTAATTTTTTTTCTTTTGTAATTAATATATATCTTGAGGGAGCTACTTTGAGGCTTATACAAATATCTGTTGGCTCTCAGGTTTTTACCCAATAATTTTGTAACCATTCCTTTAATATTTGTTCATTCCTATGTAAGAAATAGCTGTTCTTTTCTTCTTTATATTCTTATTCAGTTACTTATACCACTATGGACTCATGAATATTTAGTTAACAGGTTCTAATGCAATACTCTAATATTTTGTTGATCAAATTCCCTTTTCTTACTCATTTAATATTTTCTACACTATACCAAGCACTATATTTACAGCTTTCACAAATAGCTTGTCATATTTAATCAGTGAAATAGTTCTGAAGGAAAAAATACAGTCCCAGAAGGGACATCTGCTAGAGCAGACTGGAAGTGAGGCCCTGGCCTCCAGTTGCACTTCAGGATACTGAGTTTGCTGAAGACTCGGGCAGACAAGGTAAGTCAAACAGAGTCTGTCCGTGATATATAAAATTCCAAATTCAGGGGCTGGGAAGGTGGCTCAGTGGTAGAGCACTTGCCTTACATGCATGAGGCCCTGGGTTTGATTCTCCAGCACCACATAAGCAAAAAGAAAAAAGCCGGAAGTGGCGCTGTGGCTCAAGTGGTAGAACGCTAGCCTTGAGCTGAAGAGCTGAGGGACAGCACCCAGACCCAGAGTTCAGGCCCCACAACCGGACCCAAAAAAAAAAAAAAAAGAGAGATGGCCACGTTTGTCTGAACATTATGAGTATATGTAAGTATGTACGTGTGATTGAATCACTTCCAATCCTATACTCGGCTTTAGTATGCTTGCATCTCAGCAGGTGCAGGAAAATACAGGAAGATCCAAGGCAAAACATGTGGCGATGCCTAAAAAAGTTGTCTACCATAATTAAAGAAAAATAAAAAGCAAGAATTTAAAACTCACTCTGAAATTTCTTTTCCCCCCTGGGCTTGGGGCATGACCTCTGGGCCTAGGCTCTGTCCCTGAGCTTTTTTTGCTCAAGGCTCACACTCTACCACTTGAGCCACAGCTCCACTTATGAGTAGTTTATTGGAGGAGATAAGACTCTCACAGACTTTCCTGCCCTGGCTAGCATCAAACCACAATCCTCATCTCAGCCTCCTGAGTAGCTAGAATTACAGGCATGAGCACATGAGCCCAGCTCATGCTGACACTTTTACTGTTACGCAATAGCTACTAACTAATGGTCATATAGGTATTGGTCCATAACATTGCTTCTCAGTTAATTTTGCCCCTAAGGAGACATTTGTAATGTCTGGAAATGCATTTTGGTTGCTAGAACTGTAGGTTGTAACTTTTTTAACAGGTAGAAACCTGGGATACTCCTAAACATTAAGACAAATCTACATAGCTAAGAAATATCTGGGCCACTATGCCAATAGTGCTATCAGGACTGAGGCACCCTGTTTATTGAAGAAAAAAGCATATGAAGTATAATTTCAAACAGAGTAGTTTTATTAAGAATAGAAAAAAATTGGTATACTATATATATATATGTATATATAGATAGATAGATATAGATAGATAGATACAGCTCTGGTTCTCTCATGAACAGCATTCCAGAAATGCTAGCACCTAACTGCCTGATTTCTACCTGTCCATTCTGCCACACCCCAAGGTACCCGGATAAGCTGGTCATACACTTTTGGAGTGTTTCTGTGGGAGTGTTTTGGGATGAAAGTGGCACTTCAGTTGGTAGACTTCCACTGAAGGAGATAGCTGAGTGGGCCTCCTCGTCCCATCAGTTGAGCCCTTAGTAGAGCCACGGTGCACCTCCCCCTCCCCCGAGGAGGAGAATTCTGCCTGGTACTGCCTAACTGAAATATTAGCTCTTACTGAATCCATACCAGCCTGCTGGCCTTCGGACCTCAGGATACTGGCTGCAGATTTTGGGAACTGTCTATAATCATGTAAGCTGGTTCCTGCCAACATATACATATAGAATCATATCATCTGTTCATTCTGTGTTTCTGGAGAACAAGAACTAATACAGTGCTTGTAAAGTTCCTTATAGTTTTAGACCTAGTTTACTTTGGTTTTGTTTGTTGGTGATTGGTGGAGGTGGAGGGATTGTGTGTGTGTGTGTGTGTGTGTGTGTGTGTGTGTGTGTGTGTGTGTGTTATTGACTAAGATAGGATCTCCAACTTTTGGCCCAGGCTGATGTTGATTTGTAGCCCTCCCAATCTCAGCTCCCAAATAGCTGGGATTAAAGGAATCAGTCACTGCATCCAACTAGTTTCATTGTTTTACAAAAAGCCTAAAAAATACTGTTCTTATTCATTCATTATATACACATTCCTTCACTAGACATTTTATATATGTGTGTGTATGTATATATATATATATACATACATACACACACTCCAACTCAACAGTTATACCTGATATTCTGCACTCCATGCTTGCATATATATAATCTCATAGCCTGTGATGGCCTTTGAAACCCAACTTTTTCCTCAATAGTAGATGTTAGAAGTTTTCACTGTCTTGTCACATGATAACATCCTAGTCATTTGGATGACATGCTGAAATTTTTCCACTGATATTTTGCCTCTCCAATTTCTCAAGTATAAAGAACTAACTCTAATGTGGAAACCTCTTACTGTAAGTATTTGCATTTACTTTGTATTCTATTAAACCAGACAACAGTCATAGCCTTCTTACTCAGTCTGTAATCCTAGCTGCCAAGGAGGCTGAAATCTGAGGATCAAGGGTCAAAGCTAGCCCAGGCAAGAAAGTCTGAGATGCATCTCCAATTAGCCACCAAAGAGCTAGAAGTGGAGCTTTGGCTCAAGTGGTAGATCACTGGCTTTTTTTTTAAGGGGGCAGGGGGAGGAGGGAACTCAGGGACACACCCAGGCATTAAAAAAAAAAAAAAGCTGACTATGGTGATAGGTACTGGTCTTCCCACTTGGGTGAGAGCTGTAAAATCAAGGTCCAGTCCAGCCTGGGGACAGACCGGTGAGTGAGATGGTGGTTTAAAAAAATAACCAGAAGAAAAAAGACTGAAGGTGTGGGTCAAATGGTAGAACTTGTCTAACAAATGAGTTGCCCTGAACTCCAGCCCTAGTATCACCAAGAAAACAACAAACAGAAATTGGCTTTAAGGATATAGAATTCAGATTTTAAAATTGAGCATCCTGAATAGCTAGGATTAAATACATGAATCACCTGTGCCCTGCTGTACTCAGCTTTTATTGGTTGAAAAGAGGCCTCAGGAATTTGTGCCTGTGCAGGTCTGGGACTGAGATCCTGAACTCAGTCTCACAAATAACTAGGATTACAGATGTGAGACACGACATTCACTGTTCATGCCAGGATTTTTGTTTGTTTATGTGTTTCTTTTTGTTTAGAAGTGCTAGTGACTGCCAAACTCACAGCTCACCCTTGCTAAGCAAATGCTTTCCCATTTGAGCCATGCCACTTCGTTTGCGTTTACTTTGTTCTAGAGTATCCAGTTTTTGCCCAAGCCAACTTTGGACTGTAATTGGTCCTTCTACCTCTCCCTCCCAAATTTTTAATCCCAGTTTTAAGAGAAGCAATTATTAATTTTTAGCAGGTTAACGTTTGTGTATTTCTAGTAAGGGAGAAAATCCCATCCCATATCTAATGTCATATAGCAAGGTTGAACACCTGTCTGATTATACTTCTCTAGCCTCATTCGAGCTACTCCAAAGCATGTACCTTTACTATTAATGTGTTGTACAGAGGGGTCATAAGTCAGGTAATGAGTACCTTTCTTTGCTGTCCTCCAATTTCCCCTTCCCAATGTTTTAGGCCACATTTTTCTACTGGGATCTTCCTTACAAATGCAAAACAAATTGAAGCTGTTGAAATCAAACACCTGTGTTCCGATTCCACATGTGTTTCCTCTTTCCTCATAATCACCAATGGCAAAGTGAGCTGTAATCCCAGAGCATTTTGCCAACTTAATGTATATTCGTGTTAGCAGCAGCCTAAGGATTTATCTCTAAACATTTAAGTACATTCCTGAAGATAAATTCAGTTCCCACTTTCAGTCACCAACCCCCAAAACAGCCCCTCGTGACGGCCTGAGTGCCAGCAGGTGCTGGTTTTCACAGGCCTCGCTAGGGCCTGTCCCTCATGGGCAAGGCATTTAACAGAATAGGCTTTCTGAGCCTAGTTCCAATATACTTAGCAATGGTGGATAAGAGGTCTGGCTGAGAAATAAGTCTAGGAAGCAGAAAAGACAATGACAAGGAAGACAATGACAAAGGAAGGTTCACATAGTTCTCCAAATGACTTTACCATTGTCAGTATTTCTGAGTTAGGAATGTTCTAAATGACCCAAATGCATATCTGAATCACTTACAGAGCCAAAATGGAGAAGCTGTTCGAATACGACAAGTCCAGACAGCCAGACAACAGTGCGTTTAAGCAGCAAAAGCTGCCGGGTCACCACCTCCGCCTCACCGCCACCGCCGTCCTCTCTATCTTTTTTACCACGGGATTATTCTGCCTCTGTGTGGGCATCATCCTTATATTGTCTGCAAAGAACACCAAGAAAATAGAGGTTTGCACTGTCTTACCATTGCAATGCGGTTTCCAAGAGTCCTCAGTTGTAGAACCATAAAATAAGAAGGGTCTAAATTCTCCACGGGGATCTAGATGACACCGGAGCACCCCCTCTTTTGGATGCAAGACTCAGAGGCCATAGAGGGGTACAGCCCCTGGCAAAGTGAAGTGCTTTTCACACTGGCAGAATGATCTGCAAATAATAATAGAGGTAGGAGGAGGGGCAAGGCAAAGTGAATTTCAGACCCAAAGGTCCAGGTCCTCTGGGGCTTAAGAAGATATTTGTATGCATTGGGTTTTTTTTAATGTGTAATTAAAGAATGATTGCAATACTCATTAGGCAGGATGGCATCTTACATGTATCCAATGGACAGAGCAAATGTACTGAGTCAGCATGTTCTGGTCCTTCCTTCTTTCTATTTAGAGATAGTTATTTTTTTTAAACTTCATAAACTGTATAATAGGTTACAGTAAACTACAGTCACATGCCTGTGCCTAGGAAGTTAGAATTTACTCTCCAATCTGTGTTCTGTTACCTGTTAGCCAACCTCCTGTAGCCACACCTCCCCCTACCCTTCCTAGCCTGAGGTTAATTACTATTCTACTGTCACATCAACTGCTTCAGATCCTATGTGAGTGAGGACAGGCCATATTTGTCTCGCTGTCTCTGATTTATTTCACTTAGCAAATATCCTCCAGTTCCATCATATTGCTGCAAGATGACAGGATTTTGATGGCTCAATTAATATTCGGGTGTCTGTCACTAAATACATTGACTCCCACACCTTTGCTCTTGAATAGTGCTGCAGTAAACATGGGAATGTAGGTGCCTCTCTGGTGTGTTTTTATTTCCATCAGATAGATAACCAGAAGTGGGAAGGCTGGGTCATATGTTCCAGCTTTAGCTTTTGGAGGACCTGCATCCTGTTTTCTGTAGTAAATACACTAATTTATATTCCTGCCAACAGTGCGTAAGATTTCCCTTTTATCTGTATCCTTACCAGAATTTGTAACTTTTTGCATTTCTGGTACTCACAATTTCAAGGTAAGATGAATTTTTCTGATGGATGATAACATTGACTATTTTTTCAAATGCTCATCAGAGGTCTGTATTTTTTTATTTTTAAGTCAGTCTTCTAATTTAGTATACATTATAAGTAATGGATTTTGGATTGCTTTTTTTTTTTTTTGGTCTTGAACTCTGGCCCTGGGCACTGTCCCTGAGCTCGTCAGCTCAAGGCTAGTGCTCTACCACTTGCACCACAGCGCCACTTCTGACTTTTTCTGTTTATGTGGTGCTGTGGAATCGAACCCAGGGCCTTATGCATGCAAGGCAAGCACTCTACCACTGAGCCACCTTCCCAGCCTGGTTTGCTGTTTTTATACATGCCTATAATGTACTTTGATCATGTTCGCCCTGCTGTCCTCTCTTGTTCCTCTCCCTCTGCTTCTCTTCTTCCTTAATAGTCCCTCCTTCTGCTTTCATGTCCTCCCCTGACCCATATTCCACATCTGAAGGAAATCGTGCAATACTTGACTTTCTGAATCTGGCTTATTTTGCTTAACATAATGATCTCCAGTTTTCCATGATTTTGTTCTTTCTATGACAGAATAATATTACATTGAGTGTGTGTGTGTGTGTGTGTGTGTGTGTGCGCGCGCACATGTGCACATGGATGCATACCTGCATCCATTCATCCATTGATGGGCACTTAGAGTGATTCCATAATTTAGCTATTGCTGATGTAACTTGGCTGTTGTAGTGCTGACATAAATATGGGTGTGCTGGCTTGGATTCATTTGGGCATTTTCCTTTTAGAAGTTTTTCTTTTGAAAAGCATCTAGTCAGGCCACTTTCACCCTTTTAATTAGATTTTTGGAGGAGTTGCTGAGGATTTTTTTAATGGTAAGATGCTGCCAGGTGCCCAAATGCAAGACTGTAAGAAGTCTTACTATTCCCAAATACTAGAAACATTTGTGCTGGGAGTGGCGTGCCCTTTAGCCGTGTCTCAGGCTGCACATCCAAGACAGGTTGAAATTTGTTATAGATTCAAGTCTTGAAATTTAAGATACATACTTGTATAGCTTCATCACTCTACCCTGCCTGACAGGTCAATTACACAAAGCTATGTGCAGATTGTCATGAACTTCGGGATGATGCCTCCAAGTTTAGGAAAGCATGCACCTGTTCTATTCCCTTTAACCTTCCAGAGAAAATGAAGGTAAGTGACATTGGAGAATTCAACCAAAGCCAGGCATGATAGCTCACACCTTTGACACCAACTACCCAAGAGGCATAGTAGGAGGATTAAAGCCTAATAGTAGGAGGAATGCCTAAAATTGTGTTGAGTTCAAACCCCAGTACCACACACACACACACACAAACCACCTTCAACTGACTTAATACTGATAAACTTCTCTTTAAATGTCCATAATAATATTTTAAATTCCATCAAGTGCTTTCCAAAATTATAATACCAAATGCATACCCTATGAAACTAAAAAAATTGAGGGGAGGAGTTGGATTGGAAGGGACAAGGAGAAATGAAAGGGATGAAATTGATCAAGCTGCATTGTACTTATAAACTGATTTATGAATGCTTACTCTTTGGACGACTACGTAAAGATAATAAAAATATCTTTTAAAGAAAGCAGAATGGGGGTGACAAATCTTCTAAATTATTGTCTTCCTACCCCACCATTTGCCTTTTTTGGTATTGTTACCCTCCCTTGTGAAATAATTTGTATTGCTAATCAGGTTTTTATCCTACCTATCAGTCTAGGAGAAGATTTTAGATATCACTAAATCTAACCACCCATTTTTGATAATGAGAAAATTAATGGGCTGAGAGGTTAAGTGACTTCATCAAGATTACATAGTAATTTAGTGTCAGTGGCCTCACCTGATGGGACTCTGCTTGGATCCCTTCACTCCAAGTCATTCTACATTAGTTGCCTAATCCCAAAGAGACTGGCTTGGTTGTCAGGCACCAAGGGAAATGACAAATATTAAGAGAAGTCTCTACTCTTGGGCTGCTTAAAGTTCCATGTTAAGTCCAGATCCTCTGAGAAGTAGATACCAAGACAGGCTTAGACATGAAGAAACTGACTAGGGGAACACTTGAGAGTGGGTCATGGAAGCCATCAGGAGTCAGGGAGAGCTGTCAGAGCACGAGTCAGCAATTGCTCCGGAGAAAGAATGAAGTAGGGAAGGAGAGAGATGAGGAAGGTTTTCAGGGGATGAGTTTGGTTTGGGACCAGCTGACTCCAAGGTGGAACAGGGCCTTGAATGCTCAGCAGGAAGCTCAAGAACAGCCCTGTCTGGACCTGTATTCATCCCAGATAATGTCAGCTATTCAAGTAATGAGGGGAACTATGTCAGCATGGAAGATGCTGTGTAGGAGCTGGGCCTGAGTCCAGCAGACAGAAGAGACCCAGGAAGGTCATGATCTTGGAAAAGACCTTGTTAGGTTAAATCATGGACAGAGAATCATTGCAAAGAGGTCCCTAGTGGGGCAAACGCTGTCTGCATTTATTGTTTATTGTGTCATTTATATGAGCATATAGCTCTAGTTTAGTAGAATTCTTTTTTTTTTTTGGCTTCCAAGAAAATGTATGGTAAATTCCATTCTGTGGATATCATACTGTCTGTAGTCACAGGAGTAAGAAATGTAATCCATCATTCCTAGCAAGTGAAGCCTGGCTTGTCTGCCTTCACACCAATGTTCCCTGTGGATTGTGTTGCAGCCTGCCTTTTCATTATGACCTAGCATCTCCTTTCAGTGTTCCAGAAATTTTCTCTTATAAGTGGCTAAGTTTGCCAGGCACCAATGGCTCATGCCTATAATCCTAGCTAGGAGGCTGAGATCTGATGATCAAGGTTCAAAGCTGGACTGGGCAGAAAAGTCCATGAGACTCTTATTTCCAATTAGCCATGCCTCTCTTCCCCAAAAACCCACAAGTGGAGTTGTGGATCAAGAGATAGAGCTCTAGGGTTGGGAAGGCGGCTCAGTGGTAGAGCGCTTGCCTTGCATGCCTGAGGCCCTGGGTTCGATTCCTCAGCACCATATAAGCAAAAAGAAAAAAAGCCGGAAGTGGCG